TGGGCCGGCATGGCCCATGCTTCATGCGTGCTTGTTCCTGGTGTTGTTTTGTCTACTGTGTCCTGCCGCTACTCCGGCTTTGGCCGTGACCACGATGTGTCTCCCCATTTTCTCCTTCATCCTTTCCTTTGTCTTTTTGCTAAAAGCTTTCTTCTCGCCGTGACCACGATTTTTCTTTTTCTTCTTCTTCTTCTCCATTATTCTTTTTCTTTCCTTCCTTTCTCTTCTTCCTTCGCCGAGAGCCTTCTGTTCCCATTATTTTCTTTTCATCTCTGTCCCCATTCCTGGGCTATTTGGACTTCATTCGCTTCCTTGTCATTGGACATGTTCAGTCCGTTCGGTTTGCGAATTTAAATAAACAACCAACCAAAAAAACACAACCAAGTACAAGTAAAAATATATAGAACATGTGGAACAAAAATCTGATCATTGTAATTCGAATTTCAACTTGAAAGTGTGTGTACATCAACTCACAAAAATTTCAAAGTGGTGCTGTGCATTGAAAAAAACTGAGAGCTGGCAGCAATGGAAAGGGTAGAAATGAAACCAGTCAAGTAGGATATTCATAAGGTAGAGGGAGTTGAAAACGGGAGAAGAGTAGTGAGCATTTCAGTCCGAATTAGTGTCAATAGACAGCATAGTGATGCATACGTTGTGAGTATCGTGCGGATCTAATCATTGGCGGAGGGTACTGATTAAGCAGAGTATTGTTACAACGCAAGGTACTTTGTGAGCAGATGGCAATTATTATCATGGCATGGTTTAGACAGGAACTCATATTGATAGGCCAAAATTATAGAATATTATCCCCTGAGTAGTATAATATTATGGTGTTCTCCTGTGTTTACATGCAGAGCCTTGACGTTGCTGGACGAGCGACAATATGAATTACACAAACATGTAGCTCATAATGTGGGATGACTGCCGTATTGCATTGCCAACGCAAACCTATCCTGTGTCAGTGCAGCCATCCAGCAACTTGTACTCCCCGGACCAGATGCCTCTGCAGCTGAACACCATGCCGAAGGAAAGCCAGGAGTTCATGGTGAAGCATTCTGGTCTGCACAGTACAAGGCGAAGAAAAATTATGAATTATAACGCATTGTAATCCTTCCCACACTTCTTTGTAAAAACAAAAGTGCCATTATCATAACACTTCATCAAGCATCTTGATGGAGGTATTTTCCATTGTGCTGGCCCAGCAGGAAGACCATGTACACTTACACGTATCTTGTGTGTGTGTTCGTGTGTTTGTGTATCCGTCTGTGCACACATGTGCGTGTGTGTGTGTGTGTGTGGGGGGGGGGGGTAGACGCACATGTGTACGGGTAGGAGTGTGTGTGTGTGGGGGGGGGGGGGTACACGCACATGTGTATGAATGTGCGTGCTGCATGCGTGTGTCTGTGGGATGGGACGGGGGTGCACGCACATGTGTACATGTGGATGCGCAGTATAACGTGTGTGCGCAATACTGCATGTGTGTACATGTGTGTATGTGTTCGTTGACACCGCATGTCTTCGCTGGTTTCGCAGCCCTGGCGGACTGGCCGTCCACAAATGCCTGGATATGCCCCCATCTGCTACTCCAGTGCACGACCAAACCACCCCTTCTGGACCATCGTGTGACACCCGCCAGCGGCTCGCCCTACCTTGCTGCAGAGCCCACTGCAGCAAATGCGATCGTTGTTGCAAGTCAACCCGAGGATTCCAGCTACAGTACAACTGCAACAAATGGATCAATGAAATGGCTAGGAAATCTCACTAGGTCGTTGATGCGACATAGCGCCTCAACCCAACTCTCCATGTCTGTCGGCCCCTCACACGAGGGGGACATGTAACCGGAAATGACAATGTTCAGGACAGGACAGGCCAGGTGTTCGTTGAACACAGGGAGGGAGTCCTCCTGACTCCATACACTTTGTGATCATTTTGATTTCATGTGGTTTGAAGTTGAAATTCGCAATACATGTACTGATGCTTGATTAGATTTATGTTCCACATGTTCTACTGAAGTATTTATTGTATGATTAGATTTATGTTCCACATGTTCTACTGAAGTATTTATTCCCGTAGCTATGCAGAAGACGTTACTTCAGTAACGTCTGGCGCTAGCCAGGGTCCACACAGCTTTAATTCCCGTAGCTATGCAGAAGACGTTACTTCAGTAACGTCTGGCGCTAGCCAGGGTCCACACAGCTTTAATTTGGTGTTTGTTTGTTTGTTTGTTTGTTTGTGTCACGCCTGGCGCTATCCCGTATCTGTCCCGTACCGTATCGCACAGCTGGCCATTTGCTGGCTCCCGTATCTGTCCCGTACCGTACCGTACCATCAAACACAGCTGGCTACAAACAGCTGGCCACAATATTATGTACATGTACCGTAAGCAGTCGATGCGCCAAGTCGCTGATGAGGCCGATTTTATTTGCAACCGCGGGAAAATAATGAGGTGAAAACGACGACGCCGACCCAATTGTTTTTCTTGGTATTTTGTGAACCATCATGGACTATATCAGCTTTTCGTGGATGAAGTAGCTGTTGTAAACTAGTTTACTGGCACGTCCCCACTCTCTTCTTAGTACTATGCCTTCCACTGAGACTAGCTGTGTTGATTTGGGATCCATCAGGAGAGGTTTCCTCGACGTCGTCCTTTTTCGTATTTCGTGCACGCTCAACTTCTAGGGCGTGCAGAGGCGGACATCGGTCACGGACACCAGTTGCTACGATTGTAAGTTGTTGGTTATTCTCTTGGGTTCTACCAGTGTGAAATTGGATGTGATCGGACTATGCAACAAGGTGCGGCCCGAAATTCCATTGAGCAGTACAACAATCTGAAAAAAGTAACATTATTTTGTGCTTGCATCGAGGTGAACATTTAGAGCTTTGTTTTCTCGTTTTCCTCCTTGTGCGTATGTATGAACCCTAGGGCTATCGTTGGTTGGTTGGTTGGTTTTTATTTCACTTCGCACATTCAAACGGGATGACGACCCAATAAAATGACGGCGAAGGCTTAGCCTAGAAGTGGCTATGGAAGAACATAGTAAAAGCTATGGAAGCACATAGTAAGAGAATAGGATACTAATAACTGCGGGTAAACGGGGGGAGAGAGAGAATACGATGTATCTGTGATACTACGTGCGGGTTACTGAACTGCACGGGGAGGGAGAGCAGAGCAATCAGCAGCAACTCGAACTACTCCCTACAGGCGTATCGTGTCACGGCAGATTTGGGACTAAGCCTAGCTATTAGTACCAAAAATGAAGCTCCTTGGTATATTTTGTCAACCAGCATGTCGACATTTTTCGCAATCTATCGATCTCTGCATTAATACATACATGAACACACCGACAACAAAGTCTCATGAAAAGTGGTTAAAGCTGGTTATAAAATATTACTGACACTTACAGTTATTCCATAGTTGCACAGAACTGTGACGATCATGGCTCCATGTGCTCTTCTTCAATCTCTGCAGGAGTGGTGGTGTCGACGAGCGCGGGTTGGGGTGTGTGCTCATCCAGTGGCTCGCCATGCTGCACGGTACCATCATTGGCGTCTTCATCAGCATCGTCATCTGAGTCTTCATCACTGCCACTCTCCTCAGACTCGGGGTTGGAGTGGTGAATATTGCCGTCCTCACTGACGACATTGCTGACAACATTCTTGCAGCCAGTACATTTGCAACCAGGACCACAGCGACCAGACCTGTAGCACTTGCAGCGCCTGGTGACACAGCCAGACTTACAGCTGCACCCACGAGTCAGCAGCATCACTCGTGACCTAACTGCAGCCATGTGCTCTTCTGTGTCCCAGACGACACTGATAGCGTTGCCGTCTGTCCTCCAACCATACTTATTCGGATCCAGAACATTGACTTGGTCCTGGTTGGCCTGCGCCCACATATTCGCCACCCAGCACACTCTCTGCCAGTGCAGACGCAGGGCGCTCCAAGATGGAGGGCAGTCCTCTTCTGGCTCCACTCTGCTCCATACCACCTTTCGTATGTCACTGAGCCATGTAGTGTGGCGTTCTTCGCTGGTTGCTCCTTGTTGCCGACTCAGCAGTGACCGAGGGCCATTGTCCTCAAATCCTGCCGTGTGTTTCTGGTGGTATGCACAACCAATCAGGCGAACGAACGCCAGGAAGCCATACTCATTCTCAGTGTCGCACAGCATACCTGGCACCCCGTCATCACGACTTCCTCCGGTGATGAATGCTGCGTTCTTCACAAGGGTGTTCATGAAGAACGTCTTGCCGATGGAGCGGAAGAATGATACATAATCACACCCCGTGGCTATGAAGGCAACCTGCAGGGTGCGACATTTCTTGTTAGCCGGCACACACTGCAGGTCAGGATCAGCCATGAAACTACTCTGAAGGGCGTTCAGAGAGATGTAGCTTCGCTCCCGGCTACCTGGCATGTCCAGCTGCACGAAAACTGACTGCCCGCACACAAGTGGCAGACCGATGTGGAAGGTGTCGGTGTCCGGGCTGTACACCATTGCGTGCTGATGTCGCAGTGCATGCCTCCAAACCCTGGAGTCACCTTCATCGGCATTGCTGCCGCAGAGAAACTCAAAGAGCTCTGCCCTGCCAGCAATTATACCAAGGGCCTTGCCTGCCAGGTTACCGGAGAACCCACCAGACGTGACGAATTGCTGCTCATGGCATGTGAAGGTCCTGCGAACAAGTCGCAGACTCGCCATGCTGAGGAACTCCACAAGGCGTCGCTTGCATGGTCGGCACGATAGGAAGCGCTTCCAATTCTTGGGAACTGGATCCTGGTCACAAATTGGCTTGGTATGGTCCTGTGCACAATCCTCGTGCTGGGTGCTGCTGTCTCGCACCTGGCGAAGGATGCTCTTTGGGCTTACGATGTCAACGTTGCTGTCGTCGAATACCATGTGAACACTGGTGGCATTCTTTTCAAATGGTCCTTTCACCCAGCGGCTGAATAGAAAGTTGGCGTATGCTTCGAACTTTGTGTGCGATGACAGAGGAGACGTGTTCAGCCAGAACATGCTGTCGTAGATGACTGCATGTGGAGAGGTTGCGAAGGTTGCAGGTAAGCGATTGACGATTATGCTCTGCTGTTGGTAACGATCAGCATACCACTTAGTCACTGTTGACTTTGTTCCGCGTCGAGGTGTGACATCATCATCAGTTAATGCCCTTGGAGTTTCAATAATTTGCTCACCAATACCTGTGCATTGATCACAGCAAAGAAATGATGCAACACATGGTTATCCCCATTCATTCGACCTACCGCCTTACAATGGAATGGCTATGACAATGCATGACAATGCATGACAATGCATGACCACCACGAATCAGAGCACATCCATATTGCTATCCTTCAAATGCTCTCTGTATTGCTTACAAGGTACAATGTGTTTTATATTCACATACATCAGTATACATGATCAGTATCATATTCAGGTAACGGTTTACACATCACTGGGCATGCAACACTGTCAAGAGGACGTACCTGAGGCAGCTAGGCCATGTAGTTGTGACCAGGCTATCCGTCTCTTCAGACATGTTGTGCGCACTTTATCATTCTTCTCCTTCTGATTGGTTGTGCGTTTCTTCTTCGTTGCAGGTGCAAATGTACGGAGCCTCTGTTGTCGGCGTGGAGGATTGGCAGATGGTAGGTGCATGATCCGACATTCCACATATGCTTTGTAGTCAGCCGTTCCAATAGTGTAGAACTGGAGCATGTCACGCCTTTGCTCTTCTGTAGCAGTCGTACCACTGAAGACATTGACCAGCCCTCGTCCAGTGGCAGTAGGCATTGGTAGAAGTGAGTGCTTCTCCATGATAGCCATTATTGATTTCAAGTTCTCCAACCTCTCCTTCTGTTTCTTGGTGACTGCTGCAGCACTATGGTCTCTCCTGTTTCTGTCTTCTTGTGCAAATTCAGGGAACAGCTCATCTTGGAAGTTGTGAAGCACGTGCCCACGATGTGGCAGATGCCGTGCGAGTCGATCAATGTACTCGGGTCGCGGGTGAACAATTGCAGCTTTAAGGTCTTTGTTGATGCACATCTCGTGGCATTCATCAAGTCCAACTGAGCTGAATGCATTGCTTGACAGGCTGACGGAGAATGACCCAGACTGGAACTGTGCCTTGATTTCCCCTGGCATGGATGCAACGTGGGCCAGATGGTGGGGAAGTAGACGCAAGTAGTATGTTCTGTCAAAAGCGTGAAACAAAGGGGCTGCAGCTTTGATTGCAGCTACTCGTAGATCCCAGTTTCCAGTACGCACCGCTACCCATAAACCAATGTATGATGTCATGTGCTGGAAATAGAAATCAACCCGGAATCGCCAGGTGTCATCACGTTCAGCCATTGCCGTGGCGAATTCTTGCAGTTGGTCATATGTAGCCGATGGGTTGCCACACCTCTGGAGCATTGTGCGACCAATGGCTTCATGAGCAAGTAGCAGAAACTCGTGGCACTTGCGAAAGTTGGTGGCTTTTTCCAACACCGACAGGAGATCTCCGCGATACCCCATTGCCACTGCCATAGATTTCAAGCCTGCATCCCAGTAGACTCTCATCAGCACGGGATGTATTGCCTTGAGAAGGTGCCAATCTCCTGGAAATGGAACCAGCCATGCTAGTTCGTCTCCGTACTCTCTTATGAGCGAGAGGAGGTGATCATACGTCTTTCCATCACCCACAACAACGCGGTGAGTAAGCATGCGCCCAACACCATACAATGCTTGCAGGCAGCGCAGAGCATTCAGCATTGTGTCCTTGCTGTCAGCAGGATCACTAGTCACACCCAGGTAGAGAACCTTCGACTGCTCAGGCCTCGAGGGGAAAGTCGATTTGAAATGGCCCTTGAGTGAGGTGTGGCCATCTGTTGCAAGGAACTCATGGTGTACTTTGCTGAAAGATCGTAAAACGCCGGTATCCTCATTTGTGGGTATAAAGGCTTCCATGGTCAGCTTGTTGCGGTTGAACCATTTTGCGCTCATTGCTGGCGGTAGAATATCGGGTGGGGAACTAGTTGGGTTCACGGTGATTGTCACTGGCGGCTGTAGGTTAATTACTGGCAATTCTGCAGGCGCAGTGGTTTCCTGGTGATAAGAGACTGCTGCTGTGTCCTCTGGGTTCTCTGTGTTTCCTGCAGAACACGATGTGGACTGGTCACAATCACCAATTACGGCTGATTCTTGAACACACTGGAGCGCGTCGTCACACTGTGTCTCAGGTAGGCAAGGCATGCCTTGATGGACTTTAGCTGGGTTTTTCTGCTCAACTGCCGTTCTTGAACGTGACCTGCCTCGCTTAGCAAGTGGCTCGGCATGCTGTGAAAAACAATGGAACCCTTGATGGGGTGCTGGGCGTTCGTTGCTACAGCAGGTAATATCTCCAGTTAGGGGCTTTGGGGTGACACTCTGAATGGATGTACCATGGAAGCCCCTAGACTGATCACCACAGTACATCCGCTTGCCAGGCTCGTTCTTGTCAATGTTGTCAATGGTTGCGATGGAGAACTTAGCAAAGGGGATGTTGGCATTAACCCCTGCCTCAGAGTTCTTATCTATGATGGTCTTCTGATAGCGCTTGTAGGTATCAATTCCTGCTGTAGCACCAACCCTTGATAGGACTCGCATGAGCTCTGTCGACTTGCTGTGTGCTTCAACAAAGTCAGATAGAGCTAAGTGAAAGGGGAACGTGCAGGATGGCACAGCTGCATGCATCATGCAGGACAGTATGAACAGGCAACGGACGCGCTTGACGTGTTGGTAGGGGGATTTGGCTGGGCAGTTTTGCTTGCCGCCTTCCTCATTACCATAAACCATCAGCCACACATTTCGCCAAAGACCGGGGTTTATTTCAGTGATCACTGCTTCTAGCTGCATTGCCGATAGGGAGGTGGGATCAGCGTGCTCCCGATGCTTAAAGCGCGCTGCCTGCTCCTTCATGAGGTCGTGCAGTCTGGGCACGGACTCGAGTGCATCTGTTGTACTGGAAAATGTTGTTTTGCTGCATAATTCTTCTGCATTCTGCTGCGTTCTGCCGTTTTTCAGGGTCTCAGCTCGTGCAGTGGCCAGGGACTTGAATAAGCACGAGGCCATGTCACAACCAGTTCGGTACAGCAGTGTGCCCTGCTTCCGCCCTCCAAATGACCCGTGCTGCAGATGCGTGCCTAGCTTTGCCTGTAGGCTGGATAGCAGCCACCGATTGTTCATCTCAGCCTCACCATCAGTTAGGGCTGAGTGATGATCAGCAGCTGTGGCGAGCAGAAGGGCCCTATTCTCGAACAATGTCTGCCCGACGAATATGGTCGTTGAGATGAGAGCTGCTTCACACCTCGATGCAGATGGCGTCTCCTTTCGCAGAGATTGGAGGAGCACCTGGAGCTGGTGGTCTGTGCTCCGACTCTCTCCATCAGCATCTACCAGCTCCAGCTGTACCTTGTAGCATGTAAGGCACAGGGTGCTATCGCCACTTATACTGATGCCATGCGCAACATTCAGCTGGTGCTGGAGAGCACCTACATTGGGGCATTTGCGTTTCGTGCCCACGATGCGTGTGCTGCACATGGCACATGTGGGGCGGGCCATATCATGCAGCTGCATGTTGTGCTTATTACATAGGCACAGAGTTGACATGTCTGGTATCTTTTCTTGTAGCGCAGCCTGTAGTTCAGCAGCTGTCATCGACACTGCTGCATGCCGTGGCAAGTCGCAGCCGGCAACTGAACATACATGCACCGCATTTCCCTGTCCATGCTGATCTGGTGTGGGTGATGACTGTAACTCCATGGCTTCCGTGCTTGCTATTTCTGCTGGCTCTGTAAATCTTGACGCTGCTGCTGTTGCTGCTTCTGTAGTGGTTGTTGCTTGTGGCTGTTGGTGTTGCTGTGCAGCCTGTGCCTTCAAACGCTTCATGCATTTCTTGCATATGCATGCATCTGGTTTAATACCTGGATGTTTGGTGTTATCCCAGTTTTCAACTGAGGCTGGGTGGGTATATCTCGCATCACGTGGTGTCTCCTGGCACACAAAGCAGGGTCCACACTCTCTACCAGGGTGCAATTGTGTACCCAAATTTGGCCGGCCCATATTTGGGCATGGGGTGGCCGGACACCTGCCAGCGTTTCAGACGCTGCGAGTACCTCCTTTGGGACTCTATATGTGTGGACGCTTTCTCTCTCCGCTCTTGCAACAAGCAGCGGCCCGAAATAATCTGCGACGTACCTACGAATTTCGAATTTGAAAAAATGGAACAAAAATGTCGAAGAAAAGTGATCAGATGTTTGGAGACCTATTCAAAAATCCGCTTGATTAGCTCTCCACTCACCCTCGAAGCACTGGAACTGCGCAAAAGCAATCGATATCTCAGTGTTTGTCCACAATGTCTCCACAACCAGTTGTCTAAATCCTTCAGCAAAATTGAGAACACCACCAAAATGCCCTTCAAATTTCCCGCGGTTGCAAATAAAATGAGGACCCTTTCTGCAGCTTTTTCAAACTTGGCGCATCGACTGTACCGTTGATCTGCCCCCACGCCATGTCGCTTCCCAGCTGGGTTTTCGGCAGGGGGCGGGAATTAGATCAAGGCTGTCAAGTGCAGTACGATGTACAACAAAGTAGAGGATCAGACTCAATGTGCTGGATTGTGCACATTTTGATCCTGGATTGGCAAGTATTGTGTACAGCAGTGCATGCGTCGGTTCAACATCGTATTTCGTTGTATACGCCGAAGTCGCTTCACAAGGAGAAAATCGACAGGGGGCGGGAATTAGAGAGGGGGCGGATCAACGGTACTTTACGGTACATGTATACGACTCCCTGTGTGTTGCAACTGTGCTTGAAGGGGACGGGTGCACTTTTCGTAGCACCGTTTTAATCTGAGTTTTCAGTCGTTCCTCTTACTAGTCTTGCCAAGGGGGTGGCTCTGGGTCCACCAGAGTTGCCCCTGGCGTATTTCTGAATTTGCTGGGGCGAGGGTTCCGCGACGCGGTCGCCAAGGCAGTGTCTTTTCAGTCACGACCGTTGTCGTCCTCGTCTCTCCATTCGCGGTGGTGTAGCTGACCCCCGAATGGTTTCAAACTGCGAAGCTCGGAGGAGTACAGTGGTGGCAGAGGCATGAGCTGTGAGTGGAGACGGTTGCTGGAGATGGATGGTGATGCAGGGAGAAGAGTTACGCTGCCTGACGCCGCGTGGGAAATTGTTTGAACCTGCAATTTCAGTTCGAGCGCGGTGGACTTCTCGACGATATGTCCTCATGGCTGTTTTTCAACGCTTGGCCTATCGCTGATATCCCTGCGTGGGATGTTCTTCCAGTGGAGTCCAGGTGGGACTTCGGGTGCCCACACTCCATCACCTGGTTGATTGTTTCAGAACTGCAAAAATAATTATTGTTTCCTATTTTGTGCGCATCTCTTGTCATCTCTCTTTTCTATACGTCGCACACCAGATGTACTACTATCGCCGTCTTTCTCTTGCTTTCTCTCCCTGCTTGCTGTTTTTTTGTTTCTGTTGCCACTGTCCCTCATCATACCCATGCTTGGGTGGTGGGCGGCGTGACCCGTTAGGGTAGCTGCCAATACAGTACGACTCCCTGATGTATAGAGAGACTTTCTGGAAAGAAATAGGGAGACGAGGAGGAAATGAAATTAGAATGGATGTTAGTTGCCGAATAGGTGATAGGATGCGTCAGTAAAAACATACTTTGGAAGAGACATCCCGTCGTCTCCAAAATAGGCGTGAACGGGCGAGTCAGCGCCGGTCACAGGAAACGTCGGCAGAGAGATCCCGTCGACTCCAGAACGCGCGTGCTCGGCAGAGTCAGCGTCGTTCCAGGAAACATTTCCATCAGTTCCCGCAACATGCACGATGAGCTAAGTAACAAAGCATAGCGTAGGGCCCTGAGCTTCCAAGCTCCCTCGTTTGGTGTTTGTTTGTTTGTTTGTTTGTTTGTTTGTGTCACGCCTGGCGCTATACCGTAT